TTTTGGAGCGAAGATGTTTTCGAGAGTCGTTGGACGGATTTTCAGGCGCGAACATTGCTGGGATATTCGCTGGAAGATTTTTCAGGCGCGAAGTTGTTTTAGAGATTCGCAGGGTGATTTTTTGGAGATTCGAGAAGACGCGGTAATTCGCTGGATGATTGTTTGGAGATTCCAGGGCGGTCGTTTTTGCCATAGTCGACCCATCTAATACTTGGTGCAGCCGCCGTGCGGTGTCAGGGCCGAGGCGGAGGTTGGTTCGAGCACGGAGCAGAGTCGAGGGTACTCTCTTTCCCCCCTCCCCAGCCTCCCCTCTCTTCCCGTTCCTCTCCATGCTTTATATTCTTATGTCGTTCTGATTGTCGGGAACTTTGGCTTAGCGTGCCGCGCCGCCGGTTCTGGCCCATCACGACTTGGCGCGACGCGCTGTTCACGTCCCTGCCGGCAGGCGTTAACGTCTCGAGCATTTTTTGAGGCATTCCGTTTGGCGCTGCGGAGCGACACGCGATTCGCTCGCAGGGCACCGCATGTCGCCGGGGCTACCGACGCGACACGGTCTGCAACAATTCCTCATTGCAGCATGGAGAAGATGCAGCTCTTGGAACCCTTGGGAGGCAACACTCAAAATCGGCGCTGCTATGTATTCCTGGTCGGTAACTAGTCTTACCTGGCCGAATCCCGCTGGGTCTGGCTCGCTCCCGCGCAGTCCGGCTCAATCCCGCTCTACCTCCTCCTCCTCCTCCTCCTCCTCCTCCTCCTCCTCCGCACCGCGGGCCTCGTCCAACCTGGTCTGGCTCGGTGGCCCCTCCAGTCGGGCTGGATAAAGCCTCCTGTCCTCCTGACGGAGCTCCCGACGGGAGTCTGCCGCGCCCGGCGAGGATCAGGAGGGGAAAAAACACACAGACACAATGAATCGTCCACTCCCAGGAAAAGATGCGAAAACATGGGAAGTGGGGGGGAAGACAGAAGCCCAGAAAACATAGGCACATAGAGGGGGAATCTTTTTATCTGTGTGTATGTATTCGTGTGTCCCAGGGCCCCTTCAGAGGAGGCGAGCGGAGCGCGCGGGCGCCAGGCCGGTGCCGTCCCGGAGCCGAGCGCCTCGGCGGTGGTGAAGCCCCTGAGCGTGAGCGCTCTCGCGGAGGCCGCGCGCCCGCGGCCGCCTCGGCCGGGGGCCGCCGGTGAGCGGGAGGGCCCGAGACATGATGGGCCTGGCTTCCGCCACCACCACCACAAGGCGGAGGGGGGAAAGAGGTGGAGGAGGAGGAGGAGGAGGAGGAGGAGGAGAGGATGATGATGAGGAGGAGGAGGAGGGAGGAGGAGGAGGAGGAGGAGGAGGGGGAGGAGGAGGAGGAGGAGGGGGAGAGGAGGAGGGGAGGAGGAGGAGGAGGAGGAGGAGGACCCCGTCCCCCTCCTACTCATGGTGTTGGCGGCTGAAAGCAAGCCCACCAAGCAATGCACAGAGATGCCCAGACACGCGTCTTCCACCACCTCCACCACCACAAGTTGGAGGGGGGAAGGAGGTGGAGGAGGAGGAGGAGGAGGAGGAAGAAGAAGAGGAGGAGGAGGAGGACCCCGTCCCCCTCCTACTGATGGCGTTGGCGGCTGGAAAAGCAAGCCCACCAAACAGTGCACAGGTATGCCCAGACAAGCGTCTCGAACGAAAACATGACGAGACAGGTGTTTGGCCGTCTTCGGCCTCTGTGGGCCCTCGCTGGGCCCCGGGGCAGTCAAAGAACGACTTCGGGTTAAGTCGGGCGTGTCCCTCTCTACAGGAGGAATATTGAAAAATAGGTAGAAATTAATCTGGGGACGATTCTTTGATTATTTCTGATCTATTTTGTTTTGGGGGCATTTCTACCGTCCAAGATCCGCCTGTGGGAGGACGTGCCCGACCTGAAGTCAGGGTGAAAAGCTGGATCCGAGGGAAGGGTCGGGACTCTAGGGGCCCCGTATTGAAAGAGTCAGGACGTCGCATGTCTGGGCAGTTTCTCGGACCCTGGGAACCTGGCGTCTCCATGTTTTCGCTTCAGGCATCTCGTCTAGATCACTTCAGCATCTCGATGACGTCACGCAACCCGTCTAGATCACTTCAGGCATACGATTTTTCGTCTGCCTTCGGACCAGAGGATTTGTTAACTGCCCGGCGGATGTTGCTGTGAACTGACCACCGCACCACACCGGAGGATATAGAAACCAAGCATGGCCGCGAGGATTGCTTGAGTGAGTTTGCAGAACAAAATGGCGTCTCCATGTTTTCGAGCCGGGCGTGTTCGCCCGGTTTCGGGCCTTGGGGCCCTCACAGATCGATCGGACTCGAAGGGTGCACAGAAAGATGGGGTCCAGGGCTGTGGTCGTGATGCTCTGCGATGCTGCAAGTTTGTCATGATGATTTGTTTGGTAATGGCACTGCTAGTGGCTGGAATGAGGGCTTGTGGAAGATAGCGAGTGGGTAGCAACCGTGGACCATTTTGCTCAAAGTGTTTGAGGCGTCGCACCTCAGATGGTGCTCCCGATTTCTGTGGGCGACCTCCTCCAGCCTGCCGCACGGGAGACCGGTCGCGGCGCCGTTGCTGGCATCGTGGCCAGCTGGACCGTGACCAGCGGCGGCGCGGACCTCCACCCGCTTCTGAGGCGGTCCCCCCTGGAGGAACCTAGATATCCTGGGCACCTGGACCTCGGCGTCTCGACTGTGGCTGTGGGGTCCTCCTGGATGTGTCCTGGCTCTTTCATGGTTTTCCTCAGGGGGGGCGATGAGTCTTTCCTGTTCCTCCCGCCGCCCTGCCCGCCGCTGCTCGGTGCTAGCCTGCCCGCGGGCGGTGTGCCCGCCGTGCCCATCCCGGAGCTGCCCGGTCGGGCCTCCGTGGGCGCGGCTGCTCAATTGCCACGGTGCGGAGCCTCGTGGTCTCGGGCTGTGCTGGCCTCGGGGCCAGAGCGAGGCAATCTTCTAGTCATGTCGGTGGTGGTCGGGGGCGGAAAAGAGGGGGGTGATGCCTACGGGGGGGTGGATATCATGGCGGGGGCCATGATATTTCCCCAGATTTCATGGCGCCCCTTCTTGTTTCATTACGTCCCTGGCCCCCCCGCTGGGCCGCGCACGTGCCGCCGGTCATGATTTGCACCCCCCCTCCTTGGACCCCCCCCTCTTGGCCGCTCCCGAGGTGGCGGCGGGGCCAGGAGGCCTCTTCTCTGGGGTGGCGGCATCACTGACAGGGCCGATGCCAGGCAGTAGGAACCCAGTCCGCTACATCGACGCCGGGGAGGACCTGCTGCATGAGAGACTGTGTGCCTGGGGCCCGCGAGCTTCGACGAGCGAATCACCGAGTCGCCCGACGGCGACAGAATGCAGGAGTACCTGACGGGCGCGGACATCTCGGAGTCTGAGGAGCGCGAAAAGGAAGGCGAGGACCTTCGCCGTGAAACACGACGAGCACGGCGCGCGCGTCCGCTCGCGGGAGGAGACCCTCGTGGAAGGGAGCGGACGATGCACGAGAGGTTCTACGCAATATTGACTTGTCGAGAGCCCGCGCACGATGTCGTGGATGGCCAAGGACATCAAGCGTACTGGCGGGTCGCCCATGCAGTGGTAACACAAGTACTTGACGGAGAATAAGAGCGCCTTCCACGATCGGTTCGCGTATGAGCTTCAAACGATGTGCCGCCTGCTGGGGTTGCTACGACCAGCTGGACCTCGCGTCGCTGCCGGCGTTCGAAGTGTTGGCGAGGAAGATGCAGCTCCTGCTGGACGCGGCGAGCCGCGGGCCAGGCGAGGGGTGCTTCGAAGACGAGGAGCTGCGGCCGGGGCATCAGCGGAGGACGGATGGCATCGCCCCGGCCTTGACCGCCCACGTGGCGACCCGCGCGAAGGAGAAGGCAAATCTCGATCAGCAGCGCCAGAAGGCCCAGGACGTCCGCGCAGCCGCCTCACCACAGGCAGCGGCGGGCTCGAAGGGGGCTGGAGGCGCTGGTACGAGGGGTAGCTGTGCGACAGCGGCATGCAGGGGCCCCGCCGTGGGCCGCTCTCACTGGACTGACCACAGAGTGGCAGCGCTCTTGGCTGCGGTTTTTTGGCGATCAGCGTCGCGACCGTCGGGGGGCTGGACGTCCTCTTTCTTCTCGTGCGCAACGCAGCCGGGGCCATGCCCTTTGCCGACGCCGTTGGAGCAGGGGCCCTGCTGTGCCACCGCGCCAACGACGCCATCGAGGCCTTGAACTGGCTGAGCGGGCGCGGCGGGATCGCCGATGTCGGGGAGATCGGTTCTAAGGGGCAGGCCGAGGCCGCCCGGCATGTCAGGGGCGCGATGTCAGATTCTCAGGCCGTTGACGTCTTTTTCCGCCCGCGCGAAGCCGAGCGAGCGCTTCTGCGTTCCCGAGCTGGCCGCGACTCAGATGAGCGCGCTGCGAGCTACCAGGACGAGCTGTTGTCGGCCCCAGCCTCGCGCATGGACTGCCCGCGTGCGGCGGGCGCGGTGCAGCGCGAGGTTGCGCCTTTGCTGGTGGATTTTGATGAGCGCGCGCTTAGGCCTGTAATCGAGTGCTGGGTGCTGATGGACAACTCTGAGCCGATCGCGCCCTTCGTGGACGGAGACTTGTCAGGCGACCGCGACGCCTGCGTCTGACGTGCCCGTCGGCTGGAGTTGATCGGGGCACTGCGGCGGCGCGCTCCCGCGAAGAAACAGTCGTGGAAGCAGAGGCCGGCGGTGGGGGCAATCGCCGATTTCGAGACCCCCGGGGCGAAGCTGACCACGGCCGAGCCCTGGGGGCCGATCGAGGTCGACGACAACTCGGAAGCGTTCGTCAGCACCGGGGGCGCGCGGGGCGCGATCTACCGCTTCCAGATCGACGCGAAGCTCAGCAGGTACTTCGCGTCGCCGCCCCCGCGGGCGGAGGAACTCGATCTTCGCGCAGTCGAGGGGGCGGCTGTCCCGCAACCGCTTGGCGCCCCCCTGCTTCGCGGCGCTGCCCGCTGGGTTGACGGGGCCGCTCTACCTCGCGCAGGGGGCGGCGACCGAGCCGGCGGAGAGCGGCGGGCGTGGCCGCCGAGCGGCGTCAGCAGACGTTCGGCGGGTCGCAGCGGATCGCCGCGGGCGGGGGGGCCCTCCTCTACATCCACAGACCGCTGGCAGCCCGATGGGCGCGCGGATGGAGGAAGATCAGGCCTGCGCCGCTTTCGACGACGCGGGCTTGATTGACTACTCACGAGCTGATCGATGCTCGGCGACGCCGAGGCGCTGGGCGCGGCGATCGACGGCCGGACAGCCTGCCGACGCGGTTGCTGGGTAGCGGGGTCGCCTCAGGTCTGGGCCCATCAGTTAGAGGCGACCAGGTGGCCCCCATGCGTTCATCATCGTGTTCCGGTGCCCTCCATTTTCGATTTTGTTTGCCACCTGCCAGTTCATCCGCAGTGCTGGGGGCCCCCTGTGCGGGCCAGGCTAATGGCAGCGCGTGCGTTGCTGCCCATCGTTTTTGCCCCGTGGAGAGACTGCTCTCGCGCGGCGAGGCGGCGGCGGCGAATTCCCGTCTTACAGGGCGGGGAGTGGTCAAGAGCGTCCGGGCCGAATAAGGGGTGGAAAAGGGGGGTGCTGGACGAGCGCATGAGGTTTCCTGCGCGGCAGGAAATGGCTCATTGTTGTCGCGCCCTCTCGCGGTCTCGAGATGCCCTGGGGGGCAAGTTCGCCGCTCTCGCCCCCAGGGGGGCCAATGGCCCAGACGTGCGCTGGGAGAAGGGCCCCGAGTTCCCCGACCTCAGTCCCGACTGGGTCCACGAGGACCCCTGAAGCTCGCGTGCGCCGGTAGGTTCACTCGCGCGCATCCAATCCGCATCCTGGAGGCCGAGGGGGCGACATGGGCCCTTCGGCGGCTCGCGCAGCGCCCCGGTTCGAAGGTCGTCACGTCGTCTTCCCGGGTGACAGCGCGGGCCAGATCGTGGCCTTCTGCAAGGGGGGGGCCTCGGATTTCCAGATGGATATTTGCTGGCGAAGGTGGTGCGCCCTGCCCCTGGGCCTCAACTGTCGCTGCCATGTCCGTCGGTTGCCGTCGGAGCCCGATCCTGCCGACGGTCCTGCGCGGCGGTGCGAGCCTGGGCATCGGCGGCCGGAAGGGGATGCTGTCGCGGCCAATGCCGCCGGCCCCGTCGGGGCGGTGGGGGGAGCGGCCCCTGCCGAGCAATGGCCGCAGTGCCCCGGGAAAGGCAGCGGCCGCCCCCCAGGCCCGGGCGCGCACGGCCCTCCCTTGTCTGTCTCGGAGGATGCCGATGACGCAGCCGGCGAAGGCGAGGGGGCTGACTGCGGCGCCGGCGAGGCAGGGCCGCTCCACGGCGAAGGCCGACATTTTCGGCCCGCGACGAAGGCCGCGGGCGCAGTGCGTCGATGTGATGGGGGGGGGTCGAGCAGGGTTGCGCTGAGTTTGGGCTCTCGCTCATCGCCCCGGGGGAAGTCGAACGCGCCCTGATCGAAATATTCGACGAGAAGTTCTGCGGCGGGATGGGCGGGGTCCCCAGACGCTCCCCGCTGGCCGCCACCACGGGTGTCCGCCTGGAGTTTGGAAGGGCGGCCGCGCTGAGGTTTCCTCGCGCCCGCCGCGCCTTCCATGGCTGGGGCCGCCTGGCGCCCGGGCAGCCCCCCCTCCAAGAGGCGCGCCTGGCGTGGGCGGCCACTGTGGTGGAGCTGTTTCGCGCTGGCTCCTGCGCCGCGGCGATCTAGACGCAGGTGGCCCTCGTGACCTACGGGCGCCCCGGGGGAGTTCCGCGAGCCGAAGGCGAAGTGGCTGATCCCTCTGTCGGCGAACTCGGGACCGCATCGAACCGCGGTCGTCCGCCCGCCCGAAGAGCTGCGCCCAACGAAGGAAGGTCGGCATCTACGACGACACCGCGGCTCGGGCGAAGTGCAGCTACGCCGCCTACCTCGAGCAGTTTAACGCGGCGGCGAAGCAACTGGGCCTCCCCGAACTGGTCCCACGCCAGCTGCGGTGGCGCGAGGCATCGCGGGATCGTCCACAGCTGCGGGGCTCCGTCGACGAAATCCTGACAAGGGGCCGCTGGGGCAGTCACAAGGGCGTCGCAGGCCGCGAGAGGGGCGGCCGGGCGGAGGCCCAGCGGCACAGGCTGCCAAAGAGCTTCCGGCAGTTCGCCATCTTGTGCAAGACCAATATGCAGCGTTTATTCCTCAATGGCGTCGCCCCGCCCGCAGATCCTTCACGTCCGCGCAGTGGGTTTTTGAGGACGTCGACGCCGGCGGCGGAGGCGTTGCGGTCGAAGTAAAGCATAAAGAAGTTTGGGGGGACGTCCTGCGACAACAGACATCGCGCACGGCCTTCATTATGACGTGGCGCACGAACACGATCACCCTCATGATGATGATTACGAGGATGGTGATGGCGAGACGCTGATGATGATGATGATGATGATGATGATTGTGATGATGATGGTGATGATGATGATGATGATGATGATGATGATGATGATGCAGCTGATGATGACGATGGTACGATGACGATGGTGATGGTGATAGTACTGATTATGATGGTCATGATGGTGGTGATGGTGTTGGTGGTGATGAAGATGTGGCCTTGCGATGATCGCGGGTTAAGCCTGCATGCAACATTACGGGACGTCCCGGGGGGGAAAATTCGAGCGGATTCTTGGATTGGTGCTGGGCACTCTTGGCGGCCGTTCCGGCGCCGCCCATGTTGCGTTCCGCGCGCTTGGGAGGGGTGCGGCGCAGGGGCGGAGGAGGGGAAGGAGGAGGAGGAGGAGAAGGAGGAGGAGGAGGCGGAGGAGGAGGAGGAGGAGGCGGAGGAGGAGGAGGAGGAGGAGGAGACCAGACATCTGCACCAACTCCGGAAGCTTTTGTGAATGCATTCCGTTCTTCCTCTTAACATAGGCCGGCCACGCGCAACGAGGGCTGGGGGGAGGGGGGAGGGCACCTTAGAAGGAGCCGTGCGTGTTGGAAAGCGCGGGGCTTATCTGCAGATTTGAGGCCAGCGCCGTCTAAGAAGGAGACTCCATCTAAGAAGCTTGCCCCCCTCCTCTACCCCCCCCTCCTCCTCCTCCTCCTTCCCCCTCCATTTCCTCCTTCTCCCCTTCCTTCTCCTCCTCCTCCTCCTCCTCCTCCTCCTCCTCGCCCTCCTCCTCCCTCTGCCCCCTAGTGTGCGCCGTCCCTGGCGGACCCTCCGAGCTATGATTTGTCCAATCCCAGGTTTTACTCCGATGTCGGCCTCCAGGGCCCGCGCTCTCGGGCTTTTCATCTCCTCCTCCTCCTCCTCCTCCTCCTCCTCCTCCTCCTCCTCGTCCTCCTCCTGCTCCTCCTCCTCCTCCTCCTCCTCCTCCCTCCTCCTCCTCCTCCTCCTCCTCCCTCCTCCTCCCTCCTCCCTCTCCTCCTCCTCCTCCCTCCTCCTCCTCCTCCTCCTCCTCCTCCTCCTCCTCCTCCCCCCCCCCGCTGGCGCCCTCCCCGAGAGCGTGGCCCCTCGCTTCCGCGGCGGCGGTCGAGCCCAGGGGCCCGGCGGAACTGCAGCGCGCGGCCGCTCGGTGCCTGGCGAACCTCTCCCAGCCCCAGGACAATCCAAGACGGATCCAGGAGGAAGAAGCTCCCTTTGGGGAAGTGGTCGGGGAAGATGGTATCTGGGGTTGTGGTCGTGCTGCTTTACGATGTCGCAAGTTTGTCCCGATGAGTTTGTTGTCTGGGATCATGGTGAGGATGGCGATCATGGTAATGATGGCGTTGATTGTGATGGTGCTGATGATGGTAATGATAGTGATGATGATGACGATGATGATGATGATGGTAATGATGATTCATCGTCATGATCCAACTCATCATCATCATCATCACCACCATCATCATCATCATCATCATCATCATCATCAAACTCATCATCATCATCATCATCATCATCATCATCATCATCACCATCATCAAGTACATCATCATCAGCAGCATCATCATCAAACTCATCATGAACATCGGAGACGGAGCAAGGAGGAAAAGGCCTCCCCATCGGCAAGTTGTCGGGACCCTCTGCCGCTGCGCATCGTCGGATGTCAGAGGTTCGCCGCCTTGGGCTCCGAGGGCCTTCCCCCGGGCACTCTGGGTGCCTTGGGAGGACGGCTCGAGGGGAAGAGCCGTCCGAGGGGGGGGGGAAGCCCGACATGATCCCGGAGATGCGGGTGTTGCAAGGTTTGTGTGCGCCAGGCGTTTTCGCCCGGATACGGGCCCGCTGGACCAGCACATGTCGATTCGGCTCGGAAAATGCCGCAGAGAGATGGGGTCCAGGGCTCGGGTCGTTGTTTTGTTGTTGGTCTTTTTTGCAACTTCCGATATCCGGGATATCTCGTGCTTGGGAAATGCCGAAAACGTCGATCGAGAACAATATCGTAATGATAAGATTGGTTGATCCTGATTGAGCTTGGCCATCAACACGTCTTCCCGTGATAGCCAGAGGCTTTCGCCTTACTGTTGTTGCCTCGTCATTGGCGACGTACGCTTGCATCAGCAGCCTGCGCTGTGAAAGATTCGCGCGCAGCGTCAACATGCCATGAGGCAACTCCTCTACGGCAGCAGCAGCGGCGTTCACTGGTTCCTGTTGGATACCAGTGTTGTCTCTGCGTTGCTCGGCACATGATGCAGTCGGCCGCAGGGTCCACACGGCAATCGTAAAGTTTCGGACAAATCAGTTCGAGATGGAAGCCAGGATTGGTCGTTTGGGTGCAAGGTCTCCCCATATACCAACAGCGGGGACTAGATGCAGTGGGGGAATTCGTTAAGGAACGTGCGTGCCCAGGAGGCCTCAGACACTGGAGGATTCCTCATCTGATGAGGGTGGCGGTGAGATCCATGGCCAATGCACGATTGTAGTTCCACTGGCTTCCCGACTCTGGAGTTCTTATCCAATGGTTCCTGATCAAATGCCCTCACGGCTGACAGTTCTTCTGGCTTCTCTCGTACAAGTTCTGCAGCTGCTCGCCGCGAAGGTGCGTGAGAGGACGCACCGCCGCCATGATCGGCTGACAGGTACGGAACCAGCCTTGGGGTGAATTTGCCGCACGCGCCCCATAGCCAAGAAGGGACGGCTCATGGCACCCCGCGCGGCAGGTGGGTGCTCCCTTCGGCAGGGCTGCCCCCCTCTCGCCACGGCCGAGTTCGGACTGCTCGACCGAGGAGTCGACCGCCTTCCACAGAGCTCCCCAGAGGCCCCGAGGGCCCCACAGGATAAAAAAAAAGCCAAGAGGGGACGGCTGCAAACATTGTCGGCGTACTTGTCTTCTTTGTTGACGAAGCAGTAGAAGGTCCGCACGAGCGAAGGACGGGAAGCAGGGTCAGGGGTCGACTGCGCGGGTTACTCGCGCGCAAGATGCCCCCGCGCAAGATCGCGCGCAGGCGCCCTCGTTCCCAGTGTTGGGTTCCGCTCTGGCGATCCGCGTAAGGCACCGCGTGCTCCAGATTTCGTAACAAAAGGGAGGTGGCCCTCCAAGACAGCCCAAGAGTCCTCTAAAAGGGCTCAAGCCAGGGCCACGAGGGGGACAGCGAAGGGGCCGCTGGAACAGTCCCAAAAACATTGCCACCAAGACCCCCAACATGCGTCCAAGAGCCCCCCCCAACTGTCACCACAAACACCAGAAAAGATCATGAGGTAACTGGTCAACGGGGTACTCCAGATTTCGTAATAAAAGGGAGGGGGTCTGGACCCTCCAAGACAAGCCATTTCAGGCCTCCCCCGTGGGAGAACCCTCCAAAAACATCGTCCCCAGGCCCCCCCAGGCCCTCGAAGATAGCCTGGAAGAGACCCCCCCCGAAATGAGACCCCCCTCCCTTTATTACGAAATCTGGAAGAACGTCTTTATTTTCGTTACGTGGCTATACGCGTAAGGCACCGCCCATGTGCGGTTATACGCTTACGTGTTGGTTGGCAATGCTGACTTCGGCTGCGTTGTTGGCGAGATGATTTTAGGGTGCTGCAGGCGGTGGCACCGGTGGCTATCCGCGAAAGGCACCGCGTAACGTCTCTATTTTCGTTACGTGGCTATACAGTCGGGGCCCTGAAGAAGGAACCCTTTTGGTTGGGGAGGGGCTCCGCGTGCCTTAAGTGTTTCGCAGCTTTCCTCAGGCTTTCCTTAGGTTTTCGCTCGGAAATCGAAGTTTAACTTCTGGAAAAAACGGGCCTCGTTCCTTATTTAGGGTTCCTCAAGTCAACGCCCCGACTGTACGCGTAAGACACCGCCCATATGTGGTTATACGTTTACGTGTTGTTTGGCAATGCCGATTTCGGCTGCGTTGTTGGCGAGATGATTCAGGGTGCTGCAGGCGGTGGCACCGGTGGCGCCACGAGTCCAGGTCGGAGCAGCACCCTCATGACATCTTACCGCGCCGTGCAATTGTGCAGCGCTTCCAGAAGCATGCCATCGACTAAGCATCACAGCTTACCATGAATCAGAGCGTGAATTACCTACCCCGCTTTCGCTTCCAGGCAAAACCAAGCCATACCACGCGCCTCCTCGTCAAGCGGCCTGACCAGTACAGGCTGCAATGTGGCATCGTTTGGTATCTCTTGGAAGCGAGGGTGGTCAAAAGCGAGGTAGGTTTGTTTTTTCCCTGATGAAGCAAGCGCGTCCTGAGGGAGATGGGTCCTCATGGTTTCTGCAGTTTTCAGCTTTCAGGGCCCTCCCTGGGCTCCAGGACCGTCAAGCAACGACGCATGAAGCATAATTGGTTCCGGGGGAAGGCCCTGGGGTGCAAGCCTTGCTTCTTTCTCACAAAAGCCTTGGTGGAACGACTCAGCGGGCAATGAAATCGGAGGTCGTTGTGGTGGCGGCGGCGATTCTGTGTTGCCTCTGCTGCCGCATGATAAGCATCTACGGTCTGTGCGTTTCGAGTGCTTGCTGTGCGTTAGTGCGCGCCTGCCTGGGGACGGAGCAGTGCTGCACGGCCTCACAAGAGAGTGCTCGGTGTGCGGTTGCGACTCGTGGGTGCCCAGTGCGTTGGATCGTGGCTCCAGGTTTTGGCCAGGTGCTTGCCCGTGATTGCCTCATGGGCGCCTCCTGCGCTTGGCGATGGTCTGTGCGTTCCGTTCAGTGCCCTCCCCGTTGGCGCGTCGTGGGCGTTGTGCGCGCTGTCGGGTGGTTCTGTGTTTTGCGCCAGGTGCCCGCCCGTGGTCGCGTCGCCTCGTGCGCTGTCTT